TTTTGAAAGACCAGCTTGGCCGGGCATGGTGGCTTACGCCTGTCATCCCAGCACTTGGAGAGGCCGAGGCGGGTGGATCATCTGAGGTCAGGAGTTCGGGACCAGCCTGGCCAACATGGCGAAAACCCTGTCTCTGCTAAAAATACAAAAATTAGCCAGGCATAGTGGCAGTCGCCTGTAAACCCAGCTCCTGGGGAGGCTGAGGCAGGAGAATTGCTTGAACCCAGCGCGGGGAGGTTGCGGTGAGTTGAGATTGCATCACTGCACTCAAGCCTGGGCAAAAGAACCAGCCTCCATCTCAAAAAAAAAGCTTTGGTGGTATACTGAGGTCTATACCTTTTCTTTACCTTTTAAAGAAGGCTTCTGAGCTCTATGATTTAGGAAGAAAGATTCATTCTCTCCAGCCCCAGAGAGACAGAAAGTCCAGGAGGTGGAATGTTAGCCACTGGAGAACTTGGAGGGGATTATGCGGGTGAAGTGTGTTCTTGTAACTTTTCTGTAAGTGTATAATTGTTTCAAAATAGATTTTTTGAAAGCATTCATAATTCAGAACTCATTCTATAAAAATCTAAAACATACTATTCTTTTACAAAAATAATTAAGCAAGCTGATTCGAATCACCTTTGCCTCCTTCGTAAAAAATTGCCTAGGCCTTAGCGTAAACTTGCCAAGATTTACCTTAACTTTAGGGGAGGTTGGTTTCCTTCAGCTTGGTCAGGTGACTGCCTCAGCTCCCTGTCGCACTCCCCTCATTGGCAGGGAGGGAGGGAGAGCTGGAGAACGGAAGGAGGGAAGGTCCTGTCATTCACCGCGCTCAGGGGCTTCAGTATCAGGAACTGCACTGATGGGCTTGGTGTCAGCGGGTGTCCAAATTATCCAGGCACCTGCATCCCTTTAGGGTTGAATAGAGTGTATAGGAGTGAGCCAGAAGATGCCAGCACCCTCCCCCTCTCCCCGCTGTGGCAGGCATCCCAAGGGCCAGGTCAGGTTCATTCATTCTCTTATTTTTTTTTGAGGCAGAGTGTCACTCTGTTGCCCAGGCTGGAGTGCAGTGGTGTGGTCTCGGCTCACTGCAAGCTCCACCTCCCGGGATCAAGTGATTCTTCTGCCTCAGCCTCCTGAGTAGCTGGAATTACTGGCACGCGCCTCCACACCTGGCTCAGTTTTGTGTTTTTAGTAGAGACGGGGTTTCACCATGTTGGTCAGGCTGGTCTCAAACTCCTGACCTTGTGATCCGCCAGCCTCGGCCTCCCAAAGTGCTGGGATTACAGGCGTGAGCCACAGCGCCCGGCTCATTCATTCTCTTGTAGGTAGCTGGGCCCAAATTTTTTTTTCTGAACCACTTGGAAGTTGCATCATCAAATCCCTTCACGCCTAAATGCTTTTGTATGTCTTTCCTAAGAACAAGAACATTTACTTCTGTAATCCCAGTATAATTATCAAAGTAAGGAATTAACATTGATAGAATACTAACAGAATGTCCCTTGAGTTTTCTTGCTGCCTCTCAAGTCACCCCACAAGCTAATTGTTTGACAGTCATTTTTCTCCAGTTCTGTGCTTAACATTGAAGAGCAGTTCAGGGTAGGTCAGGGTCACGGTTCTGAGGCTGCATACAGGCCCACTGTCTTCTGAAGCTTCACTGGTGTTGGAGAAGCCACTTCCAAGGTGGCCCCCTCTTACCGAGGGGCAAGACAACCACCAGCCATGGGAGGGCCAAGGGTGGGCTCTGTGGGACTGCTTGAGGATTCTCACAACATGGCTGCTGGTTGCGAACAGGGAATCCCCGCTTAACACCTTCTGTGACTTAGCCTGGGGAGCCACACTCAGTCAGCTCCACAGTATTCTAGGTACTGAGGTCAGCCTGATCCCATGAGGGAGGGGCCTACAGAATGGCAGGAAATATCCAGGCACAGAAAGACGAATACCACGTGATCTCACAGTGAAATCTAAAACAGTCAAACTCACAGAAGCAGAGAGGAGGAGGACGGTTGCCGGGCGCTGTGGGTGAGAGGGGAATGGGAGGTGATGGTCATGGGTACGCAGGATGAGTAAGTTCTGGTAAGCTACTACAGAGCATGGGCCGGCTTAGAAGCTGGCCCAAGCCACAGGGATATGTGTCGAGATCTGACTCTGAATATCCTGTTCCTCACCAAACCTTCACCCC